GGTGTACTCCATCAGGATTGCGGTCACGTTGGGGCCCTGGAAGTTGATGTAGTTCCACCTCGCAGCCGCGTGGTGTGGCTTCATCCCCTGCAGCGCGTGGATGAACAGGGCCTTGCCCTTGAAGTCGATGGGCCCATCAGCCGTGGTGATGGTGCCCTCGGCGGTGCACCTCGGCCAGAAGCCGTGGCGCATGCTTCCCCACGGGTTTGACAGGTCTGTGCCGAACAGAGTCTTACCGTCTTTGCCAGACACGAAGCCGGGGGCGGCCTTGCGGACGGTCAAATTGACTGTGGCCCTATCGTCTGTCGCCGACTTGATGGTGTAGTATTCGCCGTCGTCCGAGAGCTCGACTGCGCAGTTCTGGGCGTAGAAGTTGCACTTGTCCTCGCTGAATTCGACATCCTTGAGCTGGGTCGAGCACCACAGGAAGTCTTTCTTCTCGTCGGGGTAGAAGATCTTGGTGTTGAACTGGGAGGTTATGCGGATGCCGCTGTCCGGATTCTCATGTTAGCAAGGCCCCTGCACCACCTCTACCGGGCAATGGGGTGTTGGGCCACTCCGTACGCCACGTTACTATAGATGACCTGAGCGAGCGCTGCATGGCCGCTGTCCGATGTGAGGTAGAAGCTGAAGGTCTCCACACTCGTAGTGTTCATCGCGAACCACTTCATGTCATCTCTCTTCAGCTCGGTGTAGGGAGTCGTCTTGGCCTGCTCGGAGACATTGCGGATGGCTGAGGGCCCGTAGATGGGCTCTTTCGTGCCGGCGACGTCGGCCAACCTAGCAAAACATCATGTTAGTAGCCTTCCTAGAAGAACTCGACGCATGGGTGACGACACTCACTGCTTCTGCGCCCACTTGAACATTTTGGCTGGGGATGACGCAGGTCTTGGAGGGAGAGATTTAGGACAGAGAGTTGGGATGTAGGGGCGGCAGGCTCGCAGTTGTGCAAATGACGCAGTAATAAATGTTGGTTTCTCGTGAAGGTGCTCCTGGTTTGGAAAGGAGTTGGAACAACGTCAGAATAAGAAGTCGAGCACTCCCGCAGCCCTAGTCAGTGCGAGTGAGTTGTACAAAGGGCAAGGATGATCACTCGATGCGCCTAAGGCTCCTCGTCGCACGCAAAGCTTCGGCGGTCGCTGTCCACTTACGGCCCGGCAGGCTCGGGAGCGCCAGGGGTTCCCCAGGCAGGCTAGGGGCGGCTGCATGAGGTCAATCAATGCAGCAGTGCAGGCCCGGTAAGCCTCGAATTTTCAACAACCCGATATCTCTCGATCCACAGCCTATTCGCCCGCGCACCCATACCAAACACGTGCGTGTCGACGACAAGCCCAAGATGTCCAAGGCGCGAGGAGGTGCGGTTGTCGACCAGATCGTCAAGCTCGTCGTCGGAGCAGGGCAGGCGAGCCCGAGCCCACCTGTCGGACCGGCCCTCGGCAGCAAAGGTATCAAGTCGATGGACTTCTGCAAGGCATGGCGGCTCCGCTCCCCTCGAACCCCGGATGTCCATACTGACGAGCAACCCCAGGAGTTCAACGCGAGGACCGGACACATCAACCCAGGCACGCCACTGCCCGTGCGGGTCACCGTCAGACCGGATCGGTCATTCCACTTCGAAGTGCGGACGCCACAGACATCCTGGCTGCTCCTCAACGCGGCAGAGGCGCCGATGGGCAGGAAAGGGAAGAGGAAGGGCGCCTCGAAGCCAGGCCACGAGACCGCCGGCACCGTCAGCCTGAAGCACGTCTACGAGATCGCGAAGGTCAAGCAGTCCGAGCTGCGGCTGTCCGGCCTGTCCCTCGATGGGCTCTGCAAGTCTATCATCTACCAGGCTAGGTCGATAGGAATCAACGTGGTGGCATGAAAAGGCGGTAAATTACTTTGAAAAGAGCTGGCGTTCAGGTTTGGGTCATACCCAGGTGGGGAAGGCGACCAATATCCCCCTTCAAGTCGGAGGCGTTGCGTCATGTCAGATCTGTGGCATTCATTGGACTACAGACAAAGCCTGCTGGCTGCAAAGGAACACATACGACCTCCCATCATCATTGTATGGATGTTTCGACAGGATCATAGGGAGAAGTCCTGTCCGTCTGGTGCGAAAAGGCACGCAGACTCTCACAGTGAGAGACTCATCGGGTCAATTAGATCATCATCAGCTTCCATATGCTCGCAAGACTGTGCTATCAGGCGGAAGCCACAATGCCGGATTTACAAGTCTAGGTGCATGCATGTATCGCGCTGGCGTTTGCAGATTACTGTGATTTTGAACCGTGAGCATGTGTAACGGATGACCAGTTCGGATGGATAGCCACTACACCTAGGTACCTGTATAGTCACCCCTAAGTGTTGAGCCAGCCCTGAATCTGGAATGGCCATGAGGCCAGAACATAACTGTGCTAAAGTGAAGAGGAGGTGAGTCTAAAGTGAGCTCTACCGAGTTTGGCTGGTCTCGGCTAAAGTTACCTTATATGCAATTGCAGCGAGGATGCCGGGCAATAAGACGTAACGGGTAGGTGGCCTGGATCCTGTCCTGGTCTGGGCCAGATACCAGGTGTATAACTCACAACCAGGACTACAGTTCAACAGAATTCTATTCTCAAGTAAACCCTTTCAAACACAGTTACTTGTGAGAACTTGGCTTAACATGTGGAATTCAACCAATGAGCTCCTCACAGAAGTCAGAAAGCACAAGGCAACCCTCAACCCCAATAAGAAATTTATGTAGGAATCTAAGCTAGGCGGGCTATGGGAAAGCCGGGGGCGCAAGGCCATCCTGATGAGAGAAGACGGCACTGGTTTGCTTAATCATCTCCCAACAGCTTGCGCCTCAATTCTCTATTTAATTACTGCCCAGGTGGCCCGAAGTAGCAGTAGCTAATACTGTCCTTTTGCTTCTGAGTCGCATGTCTTAATAAGATATTTGTTACAAAAACCATTGCTCTAGATCTTCCAGGGACAGGCGAAATTCGAACATGCCCAGTATCAGATGCGTTTATTTGCTTATGGTCACTCCGTGATTTAATAACTCCTTGCTTATTTGAGCCTCGCATCTCCTTCTCCAGCCGAGACCCGTTCACAATCGATAGTTTCTGTCTAGACTGTCAGCCAAAGGGAATAGATTTACCTGTCCCAATCTCAACTATGCCTTCCCTCTTCAACGAATTAAGGATGGATTTCTGCGGCGTTTTCTCGATCGTGTCTAGCCGCCACTCTTTCCCTCGCTCCTCGACTTGCCTCTACAGTTCCTCAAACGCTACACAGATGAGTCGCGTCTGCTGGCAGTCGACGAGCGCTTCATGATTGAGCCTGATCAAGTGATTCCTGGGGTACATGGTAGGGAACAAGATTTCAAGTTTCATAGGGAACAGCCTCTCTCTAATGTTGGGGAGATTTGGACGAAGAACTTGGATCAATAGTATACACTTCTCGTTAGGCGGCAGAATGTCAAAATACCCCTTTGATTCCAAATATGTTCTCAGAATCTTTGAATCAGCAATATACACGTAAAGTACCAAGAGGATTGTCTCAGAATGATGCATACCACCACTATTGTGTGATCCCTTCTACAACAGAGTAGCTCCAAGCAGCTCCAGAAAGACGCAGATGGTGCCCATCTAGACGCGTGGTTAGTGCTGGCATCCTCTCGTCACCAAGTCATCGCTTAAGTTCAAGGGGAGAGCTTGACAAGCCTGCCCTTTTCTTTTCCTCCACCAATTAAAAGACAGAGGAAAGGACATGCGAAATCAAGCAAGAGAATGTCAAAACACATTCGTGTGAGTTCTACAGCAACGACAGTGCTTATTTCAATCAAAACCGACAAAAACATCAGGCTAGAGACTAAATGCTCAATAAAAACGCAAAAAGGAGATCTCTTGCCCGGGACTCAAACCCGGCATTCCTGCTTTCTACCATTTTAGAAATTAACAGGCAAGCAGTTCAACCCCTAGCCTAGCAAGAGTTTGTTTGTTCTTACCAAACGGGCTTACAGGGCTGATTGATAAGAGACCTAGGCCCTAGTAAATGTAGAACAAGAAAGGAACTCCAACTGCTACTAGCTGGCAGGCAGCTTGATTCCCACCTCAGGGGAAAAGGAAACCGGTTGGAAGAAGTACGTTGGGGGTTTCTATAACACTCTAGACATTAGCAAGATTGTGTTAGCTGAACTACCGTGGAGCAAAAGCGCGTCTCACCCGCCTCGAGTAACCTGCCAACACAGTGACTCTTAATGACAAAACTTGCCTTGCGGCTTTTCTGTTTACTATGCACCCCACCACAAGATTGACCACTCCAGTCGATGTTGCCATACTTTCTTCAGAAATAGCTAAAGTGCCCAGCAGTTTCAATGACCTCCAGATCCAACGAGACATAAGACGGGATGGAATGGCTGGGTAACTTCGGAAGTGGTCCCTTTAGTGCATAGGCCACCCATCTCTTAAGTTAAAAGCAATGAAAGTAAAGAGGGTTCCCAGGGCCTTGGATCCTCATATGTCCTGCGACTCTTATGGCGTCAGGCAAACTGCACCAGAAACCCAAATTCCAGCCACTAGCTGTAGGTTGATGGTTCGCGAGGTTTCCTGTCTGGTAGCTTCTGGAAGTCCAAAGGCAGATTCAGCGTCCAGGGCTCTCACAGCGCTTCAATAGAAGAAAACTCGCCATTTTAGTCCTTTAAAATCCTTACTCTAGATCGCCCACCACACACTGGCGGTAGCACATTATCGCAATGCGTTACTGGTTAACGGGTTGAACCAGCTACATACTAGTACTTTCTCCGTAAAAACCTTCTCGAACCCTTTCATCAGAAATATCTCAAGAACCAGCCGATCAAGCATAAATAAATCAGTGCCAGGAAGTTTGGGGGCGCGGCTAGGAATCAAACCTCGGTCTCGGGTCTTCGAAGGCACAACATCTCTGCACACTATCGGTAGTGATGCCTATATCGGATGCCATGTTTGCTATATGTGCTGTATGTACTAACCACTGCAGGGGGGAAAAAAAAAGAATCTCCAGCCCAGGAATCGAACCCGGGTCTCGGGTCCCCGAAGGCACACTTCCGCGCAGTAGGCATCCATGTGTGTCAACCCCACGTGCTGACCACTACACTAGCTGGAGTATGTTAAATGTTGAAAGATGTCAATTTGGTGATTTGGATGGAGACTTCTCCCGTGCAATTAGCAATGCAGCAACATGAAGCTGAAAAACCCTGCCCGACCATATGTGCTGACTTCAGCAGGATAACTAGGTAGTATTAAGATTCATTTTAAGTTGGTCATCAGGATGCTGTTCATTTACCAGTAAAGTACTTCGGTACTTGATTCACTCAAAATGGAATGGAAAATCTGCCACAAGTGCCGCGCAGGGGAAAAGAAGTATGGCGACCTCGTCACTTTCCAAGTCCCTTTGAGCTGACTGCAACCGCCCTCGAAAGATTTCGAGACCAGGCTATTAAAGGTGTCCCACTTGTCTAGATCTTGCCCAGAAGTTGTTTCAATCGGCCCGGCCAACCAGCGCCGATTGAGTGCTTTCGGTCTTCGTTTCGAGGTACGAGTTGGAAGTCGCTGCGGCTCGGCTCGTCGCCCCTCGTGGCGGGGTCCGTAAAGTTAACCAAGGCCGCTTTCGAGTAGCCAAAGTGATCAGGCTTTTACTCCTTCGACTGAGTTGTTTCTTCTACCGCCCGCCGGGCCCTCGAAAATGCTGAGAGTTAGCAATCGGCTTCTCAAATGTCGCATCATCAGAACGTTGTTGTAGTTACCATTTGTGGGAGCGTTTGTACGGCTGCAATGTGTTGGCATTCGAAGTGGGTGTGGGTGTGCAGAAGGGAAGCTATTCGAAGTGTGCTGCAGGGTCACGTGTGGTGCCAGCTGGCGGGTGGCTGCCCCAAGTGCGGGGGTGCCCCTGGCAGCCGCCCTTATCGATAAACCCCCACCTTCACGCCTAGCAGCCCAGGCAGGGCTCTTCCTTCTTCCTTTTCTTTCTTAGGCCACTCTACTCTTTAAATCCACATAATTTAGTGCACAATTTGAGCCCTCGTGCCGTGAAGCCCAAGTGACGTCTCAGAATAGGTCAGGTAAGGGAAGGCGTAATAGCGTGCATTAGGTCGCCGCGAAGAACAGGCGTAGTTATCGGATGTAGCCACTACTGTGCGCTCAGGGATGCGGTAAACCTGCCCGAGCTGCCTCAAGCGGGAGGTAGGCGAAAGTAAGACCACCTCGTGCGCAGGGTCGCTTACAAGGGGTCGGACATGTGCGAGCTCGGAAGGCGATCTTTTCATCCGGCCTCGACATATGTGAAATTGCCAGCCGTGTTCGCCGTGCTACGACCGCGAGGATGGCTGTCCTCTTCCACGGGCAGGGATGTCTTGGCCATTCGGAAAACACGCATGTTTTGTTAGCCCGTCCGACGTCGACAAGCATGTCATATGCATGTCACTTGCTTGTTGGTTAGGCCCGAGGGCCGCGAAGGCCCGAGTGTTACAAGTAGGAAGCCTCAGGGAATGGGCTCTTAGCCACGGCCGAGGGGTCCGAGTTATGGATTCGGATAATGGTCTGGTCGTTGACGGGATCCCACAGATGTGCAGATGAATTGATCTGAACATATATCCCAGCAGGAACATAGCCTATGGGAGGACTGCCTGCGAAGACATCATTATATATACTTTGATGCCGGAAGCTCAGGTTGAGCGGCGGCGGTCGGGCCGATGTGCGGGCGACATGGTTGGGTTTGTCTAGTTTTGGCCAAGCCCTCGCATCTGTGACCGTCCGAGTTCCGCAAGCTCAACGATGGCGGCATTTTAGGGCGGGCCCTTGAGGGAGCGCAAGTGGCCGTTTGGCGCGCAGAAACCGTCACCGAGGTAGACGGAAATGTACAAACCTGAATCCAACGCCAAGAAACGTCTGCTCTTTATGCGCCTGCATCCTCCGGCTGGCACAGCAACGGATAGGAATAACCTGAGACCCTGACCGAGCATAATGGCAAGGTTGCATGGATTTGAACCTGGTGATTGCCCACGCCATTGAGCGATGACGGGCCCAGATCCCAAACTGTCGGGCTCGAAACTCTAACCAGGCTATGATGTAAGTCGCAAAGTTAAAGCGCAAGCTCGTCGACTAACCCAGAGAGCCGTAGGCGGGCAGACGACACACAGACAGGATAGGATGCACGGCACCTCCGACAGGCGAACTGGTTCGAGGATTTGGGCCAATCTCACTGACATTGGCTTTCGACTGGGTTTGGATCAAAGTGAGTCTGATCTGACGAGATAAGATGGGTTGGAAGCTCAGCCTTACTGAAGGAAGGCCCTCGTCGCCCAGCCATGGCCCAATGGGCTATTTCCGGCTCTTGTGGCTTGTGAAAGGGTGGGGCGGAGCTGCCGTCCTCTATAGGTAGACACAGTACGTACGTACGACCGGTCATGTCATTTCCTGTCCGCTAGCACATGCTGCCTGTCAGTCAGTCTACTGGCACACACCAGGAGGCCGGAGCCGCGAGGTTGGTCTGCCCAATCCTGTCTGCCCGGGTCAGCGTGCCGCCTCTGTACAAGTACCTGTCCCTGTATGTGCGAGCTGGTCCCACTCTTGTACCCCACCAAGCCTGCGCGCCTTTCCATCGTAGCCCGCCCGTCAGGTCCTCGGTCAGATCAACCTTCCACCTTCCATCAACGCCGCCAGCAGCGACTCCAAGCGTCAGCACCACAAAGTCGGCCCACCAGCGCCCTCGCTCCCCCTTCGACCGCCTCCTTCTCTGCCTTATCGGCCTCCACTACAGGCCCATGGAGGCGCACTCACAAGAGGCGCACGGCGAAATGGCCGACTCACGGCAAAAAGGTGAGCAGCAAAAGGCGTAAGGCAGGGTCACGGAAACAGAGTGGGCATCGAATGCCCCTCTGCTCTTTAGCCCCCGGCTTCTACGGATGCCCGTTTGCTATCGCCCCTCCCACCATCTCGCGCAGCAACAAACCTTCCTCGCCAGCCCTCCGTCATCTTGTTTGGCCGTTTCAACCTCGCCCCGGCCCTGACCAGTGCTGACGACTGCCTTTAATTGTAGACGCACCAAACAATGCGCCCGAGCCCGAGCCCGTATCAAAAATGCCCACGCCCATGATTGCGCCCGATACGGCTGTCGACCGCTCCTCAGAAGACAACGCTGGCCCTGCCGTTCGATTCAAGTCCACCGTCCAGGAAATCGACCCGCAGCTTCCTTTGTCTGAATTATCGGCCCCTGGGGGCGACCATGCTGGCGATTTCGTGACGCCCGAGGATATTAGGGCTCTGTCCAAGTCGCTTCAGGGACACCGCCTACAAGAACGGAGAATGAACAATTTTGCCTTTGAGCCGTACTCATTGCCTGCCTCCAGAGTACGTCTAGACCTTTTTCGACTCCTGTATATGTTCCGAACTTCACTCTGCCCTGTCGCCACAATTCTAGGGTCAGCCCATGTTGTCGCAAAGGCGATATGACCCTGGCGCGCCAGGTCTGGTCCACACAACCTGCGTCTGGCTGCTTATTCTCGCGATGCATCAATTCCTCCAGAATAGTCATGTGCTAATGAACAAACCAAAGACGGTTTCCCACGATGACGATTCCAGGGATGCCAGCCGGCAACATACCCAAAGTTCGACGAGTATCCCGTCACCTCGCCTCGGACCAAGAGGGCCTGAGGTGCAATCGCCGCCTTTGACACCAGCAGCTACGGACGGCGCGTCGGAAACAAAGCAACTCGACCCCGCTAGAGATTCTTCAGAAAAGCTGGCCCACAAGCGCGATGTCATCACCCCACAAGAGTCTGGCCAAGAGACGTCCCCACAACCTGCTACCAGGAGGCTTCCCCATCGACAGTCGTCCGAAGAAGGCAAACGATCTACCTCTGAGTATCTGGGTGCGTCAGACCACAGGAAAGCCATGTTTTCCGTCGGACCAGGATCTCTGCCAGTTTCCCGGGAATCCAGCCCAAACCGTGCCTCCGCTCTCTATTCTCGCCCTTTCACGCCGTCTGGAGATGTCGACAACCCGTATGCCGCCAGCAAACGGCAGCCCCAGGCGAAGATTGAGCCACGATTCGTTTTCTCCCGTAAGAAGGGGAAGATTTCGCCCAGCTCGTCAACATTGAGCCTTCCAAAGACGTCCACCGATAAGCGGCAGTCGTCCGGGCTGCTTAGTGCCCTGGGTAAGAACAGCGACATATACCAGACAGACAGCTACGGGACGACACACAGCCGGCAAGGCTCCATGTCAGATCTGAAGCGGTTCTTCAAGATGGGCGGGCACCACAAGGCGAAGCGAGCAGCGTCCCCAGCAGCTAGCATTCGGTCCGGGTACAGAACCCCGCCGGGTTCAAGATCAACTTCGCAGATCCCATTCGGTGATGACCACGGCCTGACGTCCAAGTATGGAAAGCTGGGCAAGGTTCTCGGGTCCGGCGCTGGCGGCTCGGTGAGATTGATGAAGCGAAGCGAAGATAATACGGTCTTCGCGGTGAAGGAATTCCGCCCACGGCATTCCTACGAGACAGAAAAGGAGTATGTCAAGAAGCTGACAGCTGAGTACTGCATCGGGTCTTCTCTGCACCATGGGAACATCATCGAAACCCTGGACATTGTGCAAGAAAAGACCAAGTGGTTCGAGGTCATGGAGTACGCGCCGTTCGACCTGTTCGCCATCGTGATGACGGGCAAGATGTCACGCGAAGAGGTCTCATGTTGCTTCTTGCAGATCCTCAGCGGCGTGACATATCTGCACAGCATGGGCCTTGCGCACCGAGATCTGAAACTCGACAACGTCGTGGTCAACGACCGCGGCATCATGAAAATCATCGACTTCGGCAGTGCACATGTGTTCAAATATCCTTTCGAGAACAATATTGTTCTGGCTTCAGGTGAGCCGGAGTGTCCTGCTCTCTGACCCAAGAACATGGTTAACTTTGACCACAGGAATCGTCGGCTCCGACCCGTATCTTGCACCAGAGGTATACGAGGAGCGAAAATATGACCCGGCGGCGGTTGACATATGGTCCTTGGCCATTATCTACTGCTGCATGAGTTTGCGCAGGTTTCCCTGGAAGGTGCCGCGCCTGACAGACAACTCGTACAAACTCTTTGCAGCAGAGCCGACTCCTG